GGTTTGTTGTCCTTAAAATATAAAAAGGAAAGGAAATGGGAGTGATACAAGACAATGGAACTTTTGTCATTGTGGCTAAAATGCCTGGCAGAGAGGCTAGAGACCATGAGGATATTTTTTTTACCCTTCTTTCCCTTGAAATAATCATTATAATTTGTTTTTAAAGCTTTATGGAACAAAGCTCAAAACTTAAAAATGTGTTTATAGTAACTCTTGTTTGGCCCTCATACCTGTTGCAGTTTGAAATGAAAGAAACTCTGGAATTGAAGGGGAATGAAGAAGGGGAATGAAGGTTTGGAATTGTAGGTCACATCTTCACTTGCTCTTAACCATGAAAGACAACCACAAGTTTCCTGTTGGTTCCTACAGGAGCTGCATTGATCTTGTTCATGAGAAAAACAGCATTAAGTTGTTGTTAGTTGAAAGCAGTGGGTTTTTTCTCTCCGAAGGACAGTCCCAGAGCTATCAAGTCTATCAGGTTGGAAGGAAGTCAGATCACTAATTGGGTACTGAGGCCATTGAGGCAGAATAGGGATAAGGGATTTCATGCTAGTTTTGTTTTCTGTCACCAATGGGTGGATCACAACTTCAGGAAAGACCTGTGTTCAACAAACCTTTCTTTGGAAAAGGAGAAGCTGGGAGGAATCTGAATTTCATTAAGCAAGACGTGTTTGATTTTCTCTTGAGGAAACAAAGCAAATAAATTATAGTGGTATCAGTATGATAGGATTATAATCTTAATAGGTATGAGAATGTTTCCTCTTGTGTTTCCCATTGATTTCAATGACTCAAAGAGGGTGTGATTTTGTGTCCCTTTGTAATCTTTACACTCATTTCTCCCTATGCTAATAACGTTCAGATACCTCCCAATCTCTCTTTTTCCAAAGAAAGGTTTGTTGAACATCTGTTATGAAGGGAAGTCCACCACTTTTCATGGTTACAGCTTCTACTTTGAATTGTTCTTGTTATGAAGGTTTTTTTTTACTGGTGTTCCTTTGAAATCTGCCTATATATAGCTTAAATTAATTAGTTTGTATTGGCATTCTGGAGCAAGAGAGAAAAATGATTAACTATTTCAAGATCTTTTTCAACAAATAGTATCATTAAGGCAGGTATCCTTCCTTCTATTCCTGATGTTTCTTTTCTGTCATATTATCCACTTGGTTTTGCAGCACATGCAAGTTGGGTAAGCATCCTTTCTGTCCATCAAAGTCGTTAATAACAGTTTGGGATACTGTAGTAGTGAAAGATCAAAAGCTCCACTCAGTATTACCTTTCTGTTTTCTTAATAAGCACAACCACTGGGGTGGTGAGTGGGAGTGATAGCATGTGCATTATGGATACCATGACCAAATGATGTAATTATGCAATATAAGTTTAATTGGTCAATATTCAATACAAAAGTCACTTGTGTGATGTGATACAAACATGTAACTAATATGCTTGGACTAGAAGAAAATTTAAGATATTCAATTTCTTATGTGCTAATTCCATACTGTATTTGCTAATCCATAGGAATTATATTCATAGGAAAAATAAAGCTTTATTTAAGTTTATGGACAGGAGCTTATAAAAAGATGTGGATATTTATGACAACAATGTAATGGAATATTCATTATATATCAAGGAAAACTGATAAATACGCTAGAGAGCTTAAATTGATGGGAACTCATATCAACAAACTATAATATGATTTGTTTGATTTTATTTAGGATGAGATGAATCAGCAAGCATGGTATGTTCCACATATAGGGGCATAGTGCAAACATGAAGACAGCCATTGTCATTGTGAAATTGCTTTATTTCTTGTCCTAGCTTAGGGGGCATGCAACCCTTTTGGGCAAGTAGCTAAGAGGGATGTAAAGATTTTCAAGATGGAATTCTCTTAAAGGTCAAGTGAAGCATTCCCTCAAAAGTGATCATTTGCCTGTTTTGTGCTGACTGCCTTAATCTTCATGCATTCATTTATAAGTAAACATACAATATTTTGCCTGCAAAAATCCAGACAACCACTATAGTAGATGCAATGATAGATCCTTCTGGCTGGCTGCCATCTAGTAATTATCTAGATTTTTGCACTCTGGGTATGTATGATATGTAGTTCCTCTTTAGTTGTAGTTTGTAGTTCCTTGAGGAGTAGATATCTTGCATAGTACCTGTCAAGATAAATAAAATCTGCCCTGCCCAAGTTTAGTGGGCACATTTGAAAGCTGAAGAACATGTTATGGGTTAGAGATGAGATTCAGATTGACACCTTCCTGATTCCTTGGGATGCAAAAGGGAGGGGAAGGAATATGGTTAGGTTTGCAAGATTGCCTTACAGTAGTCTATAGAACCAATAAGATTTGGTTCTAGCCATTTATATAGTCTGTTTCCTAATCTGGTCATCTTCAAAGGGCTGATATCAGTCTTGTTAGTCTGACTATGCATTCTCTCCACTCCCACTTATACCCCAAGGAGGGGCCAGACTTCCTAATGGTTTCCCTGTTTCCCAGGCTCAACACATGTTTTTGCACATGTTGTAACCATCTCTGCATAGTCTCTTTAAGGTCATCTCTGTAGCTTCCTACAGTATCTCACTTTTCATTTAGGACTCAAGGTGGCATACATAGAGATTGCTTAATATAAGACTGCAGAAACTCAGAAGAGAATTGCTTTAAAATATGTCTATTTTTGAGACCTTATTTTGTTTATGCAAAGACTTACCATGTAATAAAATGTACATGGTGCCATGTTATACAGCATTTTCTTGGCTACTTAATATAGTCTACTGCTGGAATTTTAGCAAGGCATCAGAAATGGTCATATTAAAATTGACATCCTATCCATTAAAAGGCAGCAGGATGTATAATGACTAATACTTATAGCCTTTGTTTTCAGGAATCAGTTGGCTTTTCTAGTAGGAATGATCTTGAGAACTTTAACATAAAAGTATACAAAAGTGAATTTGCCATCCAAGTAGAGACTTTAATTACATTACAGATAACCATGATGCCAGAAAGTAGTTATAATGTCTCCCCTTACAAAAATTTCCAATGCTGGGAAAATGTTTTATTCATTTATTCATTAAATTTATATGCTGCCCATCTCACTAAAGATGACTCAATGTGAATTACAATCAATCAATAACAATGCCAATACAAAGCATTAAAACAATAAATAAACAATAAATAGTAATATTATTTACTATTAATATTAATAGTAATATTATTCAAATATTATATTTGAATTAAAATTGACAAAGTTGGGGAAGAAAGGAGCAAGATTCATCCAGGGAGAAAGTGGGCTCTTATCTTAATCCAGTAATCACCTTCAAAATGACTTATTCTTATGGGACATCCAAGCTTATCACAAGAAAAGAGATCTCTTGTGGAAATATTGCTTCTGATGCAGGGAAATTTGAATGTCAGCCCACTAACATTTATTTCTCAACCTTAGCAACTCTAAGATGAGTAGAGGTCAACTTCCAGAATTTCCCAGCCAGCATAGTTTGAGGTAAAAAAAAGAAGTAACATTTATTATACCATGATGTTACTTTCACATTGACATCACATTCGGTTTTGAATATTAAATTACAGCTTAATTATATTCTGAGTGATGAAATTCTTTTGTTATGATTTCCTTTCTAGTCAACTTGGTTGTAGTGCTAGAAGAAAGAGGGAAAAAATGCTCTGTTTTCCCTTGCTTGACCACAAGATTCTCTGTGCAGGGTGGATCAGAAATTTTTCAGAATAATAATAATGACTGCAAACAGCATTATGACTGAGTTGCCAGAATTAATCATTGGAAACTTTTTCTAGGATTTGGATGTGAATATAGTAAACCATCAAGTTGAGAAGGTTTTGGAAAATGAGTGGCGTAAGACCTCATGGAACTTTAAGATGCAAACAGATAGGCATCTTGCTCATAATATGTATGATATAACATTTATTGAAAAGAAGAATGTCTGGTTCATTGATGTTGCTATTCCGGGTGATGCTAGGACTGAGGAAAAACAATTGGAAAAAGTAACAAAATATTTTGACTCAGAGATTGAAGTTGTACGCTTATGGCCAAAGAAAAACCATTGTTGTATCAATTGGGATTGGAACCTTTGGAGTGATATCTAAGGGACTTCCTTGATAGCTGGAAATATTGAATTTATCAGCCCTGAACATCCCAATTTTTTCAAGAAAATACCTCCACTCTACTTGGAACTGCCTATATTCTTAGATGCGACCTTACTAATTCTTAGGTGCTTGGTAAGGACTTGAATTATTAAGTTTCCACTAGTCTTAGATTGTGACTTTAACCCACACATAATAATAAATTTACTTGGAATAGCTTATATTTCAAATAATACCTTTAACAACATCAACAAACAATATCTGTGTATCCCAGGCCTTTGGGAAGGACTCAATAGGTGGATAAAAATGCTAAACCCTGTCTGTACATCTGGCTGACTGCAACCAACCATAATAATTGCTGCTATGTGGAAAACTAGTATCTTTTTTATAGTCTGCATCACTGGAAACAAAACTAATTATGGTTTTATATTAGATGTTGGCAATGTTCCATTGTTAAAGAATAACTGGAGTCACACATCAGGTTAACAACAGAGTGTGATGTGAGACTATTGTCATGTGTGAACTCTTTCACTGAAAATTAGGATCACAGTTGATAGGTCTAACAAGATAAGTGAACCTTACCATTGAATTTAGTTCAGTACAACATATTTAAAGAAACCAATGTGTGAAAACCCATCCTAAAGCTAATCTAGGTTATAATTTACAAGAACTATCATTTGTTCATCTCTATGATGATTTTATAATTTCTGTTTTTTTCTTACATTTTAAAGAAAGTATCATCAAGTTACATTTAACAAAACTTTTTTTCATTCAGAGGACAGTTTTAATTCCTTGAGGGTTTTTTTAACTTGGAAAATCTAATTCTTTTTAATTGCATTTGTGAAACAATACAAAGATAATTAGATTTTAATAATACTTTTGTTTTGTTTCCAGGATCGATTTCAGGGTTCAAATGGAAAGGCCCCAAATTAAACGTAACAGGAGCGCATCATGTCATACAAGAAGGAGATACTTTAAATATCTTGTGCAGGTAATTAGCTTGGCTGAACTGACCTATGCATTTGTCCCTTAGGTACTATAGTTTTAATTTTGCATGCAGGGTAGCTTTAGGCTAAGCCTAAGTAGACACTGGCCTGGGGCACCAAAGTTTAAGGGGTCTTAACACTGCCCCTTCTTTCAAATCATTCTAAAAATGCAAATCTTGGCATCAGCAGGGAGTGATGTCCTTACTCAGTGTGGCATAGAGTCATCATATACCCATGATCTGGCACACCTTGGTGGGAAATAGACCCTTCATTGAAAGGATAAAAAGAGCACCTTCTTAATCTTTTGTGTTGTTTTTGCTTTTGTAGAATATAACAGCTAAATAGCTAATTGTAATAAAAAGGAAAGCTAGAAAGTTAATTCTAATTTTCATCTTTTTCTTAATCTGGATTTGCAGTGGAGATGTGCCCCATTCTTGGTTTCTGCCTGAAACTCTAAGTAGGGATGACAACCGATTGAATATAATGACTTACGCTTGTGGAAGGCACAACAAGCAGTTCTGCAGCAGCCTGACTTTGAACAGAACTCAAGCAACTGACACAGGATACTACAGCTGCAAATATCCAGCCTCAAGTGAAGTAAAAAAGAAGACCGTATCTAAAATATATGTATTTATTAATGGTAAGATCTGATTATTTTTATAATGATTGTTACAGATTGCTGCATTTCCACAATAGCTAAGGGGAAAAGACATACAATGGTACCTCAGACTTGACTGCTTCAAAACTCATCAAATTTGGTACTCAACCTATTTTGACACAAAAATATTGTCCCGGTACTCGTCGTTTCTTTGGTACTTGATGTACTGAGATAGGAAAAGGGAGATGGCTGCAGACAGGAAGTAGGCCATGCCGGGAAGGTCATTGCAAAAGGTTTACCAAAGCAGGGGATGGCCACAGAGGACAGACAGGAAGTCGGTCATGCTTGGAAGGTAACTGACATTGGAAAGGGACAGACAGGAAGTCCTTCCTGGCCAAAAAAAGGATCATGTGGTAAGTCATATGGTTTGTTTGACACTTGTCATTTTTAGTACTTGTTGCACTTCTTGGAACCAATTAACAATAAATACTGAGGTACCGCTGTATTTATACATGAATTACAACCCATTTGCTATAACATCAGAAAAACTAGGTAAAGATTTTGTTGACTCACTCTGTGCTTGGACACTTAGGGCCAAAACTAATGTGGTGTAGAAGACCTTCAACTGGATTTTCTAACAGCCAGTGCAATAAAACAGCCAATGCAATAAAAGCATTTGATGCCTGTTACAGTATTTAGATGCAATAGGTCATTACTTGGCTATGAGGCTTTGTTTGCAGTAAAACTGTCTGAGAATAGGATTAAACTAAGTGATCCACCAATACTGCAGTGACAAAATTAGTAATTATGAAGGGGGGACTTTTTTGAATTTTGGAGGCAATTTGATAGGTTTTTGGAAAAAAAGTTAGTTAAATCTATTGGAATTTTTATTTTGAAGAAGAAGAAAATATTCTGCTGAAACTTGATAAGGTACCATTTTGTTTCAGGAGCATATTTTTGTAGTTATAGAGGCAGCAAATATTGTGTTATAGAGGCCAGGACAATTGTGTTAGACCTGCAGGCGCTCTGATCCTTGGTTAAGTCTTTTGTCTCATAGTTTAACTTACCAACCCAATTTGGCTCTCTTTAGAACTTTTAATAAGGATTGGGAGGTGGTCAGATACCTCTTGCAGTAGTCATACTCCTGAGGTGTTGGTTCAAAATGCAATATTAAAATTAATCATTAGCCTTATCTGAAAGGAAGCATACCAAACGTGTTTTAGGGTATGATTAAAATATTATCTAAGCCATGTCCACAGTATTAAATACACAGCTGGTAATGTCCTTGCTAGGATTTAATTTAATTTAATTTAATAATTTAATTTATATACTGCCCTTCTCCCGTAGGACTCAGGGCGGTGCACAGCATATTAAAACAGATACAAACAAAATACATCAAAAAACAAAAAACCCCATAAAACCAAATTAAAAGCCAAATATTGGAAGCTGTGTGTCAATTAAAATTTTCTTAAAATCATCCCTACCTAAAATCCTCCCTAGGTCAGTCCCGCTTGCTGAAAAAGCCATGTCTNCGCGGCCGCATTCTGGACCAGTTGAAGTCTCCGGGTGCTCCTCAGAGGGAGCCCCATGTAGAGAGCATTACAGTAGTCCAGGCGAGAGGTGACGAGGATAATGTTGTACATGTGTCTCAACCAAAAGGTGTGAAATATCAAATCATTGCCAACAGAAAAAACAGCGGAATGTCATGAAGCAATATTATGGATGTATAGGAAATTAATGTTTTATTATTTACTTTGTTGATACTTGACTCACATCCATTAATCAACTCTACTCAAGAATACAATCTTGATAATCTTGACCATGTGACTTTTCCATTGTCATCAAAGCAAAGTAAAAGATACAACCTTTTGTCTTTGCCTATTTTCCCCCACAACTCTGTGATAGGACAGGCTGAAGGAGTGATACCAAATTACCTAAGTCAGTGTTTCTTATTCTCATCAACTTTAAGACATGTATGACTGAATGGGGAATCCGGACACTTGAAGTCTACCAACTTCAAGTTGATGAGGCTGAGAAACACTGATCCAGAGAGTTTCCATAGATGAAATGCACTAGGATTTGGTTGTCCCCAGTGCCTTAACCACTATATCATCTGTCTCTCCTTGCATTGCTTAGTAAAGTACTCTAAAGGAACATTTTACTCTATTGCAGTATGGCGAACCTTTTAGAGACCGAGTGCTCAAAAACTGGCCCCACTCACTCCACTCCACCCCGTGTCCTGCCCCCACTTCACCCCCCATCTCCTACCCCGCCTGCCCACAGGGCCACTCACTGCCTCCAGGGCCCGCTGCAGATTGCCCAGGCAGCCGAGCAGCGCTATGGTGGTCATGCCCTGTGCCCGCGCCCTGCAGCATCAACTGTGAGGGCCAAGTCTTGTCTACGCTGCCTGTGGCTGCCATGTCCTTGGCTGCACTGCTCTGCATGGGCCACACTCAGGGGCGACTCTCCTTCAGGGGGGCTGCTGGAGAGGAGGGGGTTGTGGGGGGAGGCGAGGCTGGGGCAACGGCACGTGTGCCCACAGAGAGGGCTCCGAGTGCCGCTTCTGGCACCCATGCCATAGGTTCGCCACCACTGCTCTATTGCAATGAAGCACTCTTTAAAGATCTGTGCACCTTTAGATTTCAACTCTATGATTGATTAATGCTATTTTGCAACTTCTTAAAATGTCAGGTTTCTATCTTATCATCAGGATGTTGAGAATTTGTTTAAATGTTCTCTTGAGGACATTTTGCAATTTCATGGTGGAGACGAGGATGCTTTTCTGTTACACTCTTTCTGTCACTCTAAAGCCTTCCTGTTCATTCCACTGGCTAATTGAAAAAGGTCAGTTCCCTCATAATAGCTTCCACTGAGATTTAAAGCGTGGGAAGACTGAAGATTTCTGGAGAAATGACTGTACAGTGAAAACTGGACATTCACAGACATGTCTTGATTACCTCATAATTGTTGGAAAATTGCTGTAATTTCCAGTTTAGTTTGTGTCTAGTTCACTCCAAGGCAATCTCTACCTCTAGATTGGTATAAGCACACATATACCAGGCTACAAGGAATTAATGAAGGATGTGAAAGAAATTTTAATATCATGTTATACTATTATTGCATTATAATATGTATATTTAATATGCAATATTAAGATATTTGTTATGGCTTTAGTCATTCCCAAATTCCTTATTCCAAGATACCAAATCTACAAATCTTGGTTCTATCAATGTTAATATTTTGCCAAAAACTGTCATCAATTTTCCACCAAATATTTTGAAGTTTAGTTTCATAAGGCAAAGTACTAGAAAATATTGGAAAATAATGTGAGTGATAGTCCCTATATTCAGATTAGAGCACATATAGACACTCATTTCAGCTGGCAAAAAATACAGCTTGATATTTACTTTTTCTGCAGGGCAGTCCCAACTAAGGTTTATGGGAGCTGTAGTTCAAAATATTGAAAGGCAAAATATATAAATCAAACCTTCTCTTAGATAGTAGGTGCATCTGAAAACTCATAGAATACCTAACTCAAAAGCACAATTGTTTCAAATTCTCTGAAGCTAAATTTCTGATGTGGCTCATGTGACAGAATTCTTTGTAAGTAAGTAATATGCTTTAAACCAGACATATCAAACTCGCGATGTCACGTGACATCGCACAATGTATCGGGACGGTTTTATCATTGCCAGCAATGGGGTGGGCGCGACTTCTGGATGACGCGTCTGGCCCACGGGCCGGCAGTTTGACACCCCTGCTTTAAACTGACATGTAAATGAGGAACAAATGGTTAATTATAAGAACAGTAGGATACAAAAACAAGCCATTTGACCAGGAGAAATGAGAGAGATGTGGCCTTGCAACATCTGTTAGTCTAGAAGCAGCAATTGTATCTGAAAACTGAGCTTCCCCATGAATGGTCAGTGATAGTTACAGTAAGTCCAGTTTTGAGACCCCAGGTCATTTTAGTCCTGAGTAACTTATATTTATATAACAGAGACTTTATATAGAAAGAGTCCCAGCAAAGTCTATGGATTTATTTTAGAAAGAATGGCTCAAAATTCTCTGAAATGGAATATGTACTAAATGATGCTCTCTTTTTTTTTTTTTTTGCCTTGGTAGAAAGTTTGCTTCAGATGGAAATGGGATGGCTGATAGTTCTCAGGTCCTGGGATGTACTTTCTTAGACTTGAGCTTGTAACATGTACATTTTTATATGGTCATTTTTCTGAAAACGCAATGTTGATTAAGACGTTTTCTATGCCAAATATTCACTTGCTTTATATTGATTGTAGCATAAATAGGAATATATTTTTATATTCAGAAAAGTATATAAACCTTTTAATGGTAGAAAAAGTTTCAATACCACGATAGGAAGTTCTTTTCTTTATCTATGTGATAGAGAAAAGGATACAATTTTCCTCAAATTATCAACTTCATATTTTATTATCATTTTCAGTCTGCACCGGAGTAAAGTAAATTATGCCGGGGTTTGTTTGCAGTATCAGCTGTCATATGACTAAATCAGCCCATAGTAATGTAGGAAAAATATGGTATAGTTGCTCATAGAGTGAAAAAAAATTATAGGAATAGATAAAAAGAGCCATCAAGAACATTGAAATTATTATTTCCTGGCAGACTACATATTTAAAAATAAGATTGTGACTATCCTTGGATTGTTTCCTATGGTGACAATTTGTGTCACTCAGAAATACCTTTTCCAGCATTTTGGCAGTATTTAGAAATGCAGAACAAATGTTTACAAATGCAGAACTACTGTAGGATCTGGCAGGAGAGGAAGAATGATCTCCTTGACTTAAACACGTAACACTTCCTGTAGTTTGATCAATAGAGACAATGAACCAAATAAGAGCAGAAAAGATTTATAAAACGTTTTCAGTCTGCTAGGAAGGACAATCTATTTCAAAAGAATTACCAATGAATAAATGAGCTCCTGAATGTTTTCAACTTGTAACTATAGCAGTAGCCAAATACATGCATCGCTGTAAGCTGGAATGTGGTTTTTGGCTCAACATGTTTTTGTGAAGTGAACCATTGCAATTTGTAAATTGTAGTTAGTGATTTAGTACTGTGTCCGGACCAAATACCAGCTCTGAGGCCTCCGGAACTACCTGTAGTTGCACCACCAAATTTCAGCAGAAAAGCTGCCAAACATGGATGGGAAATATACAGCAACTTTATTGAAAGTCCTAAAATTGGTTTAATATTTTTGTTCAGAGAAATGCCCCTAAAACCCAGAGATAAATGGAAAAATCTCATAAGGTCCACTCATTTTTCCTCACTTTTTGAAAAACACCTCTATGCCACTTAACTCCCAACAACCCTGGGCAGTTACAGCTAAAAATGTTAAAAACCAGGAAAAAAAAATGCAGCAGTGGTAGATGAGAAAGGTGATAAAAACTGGAAAAATTCACTGTCCCACATCAATTTAATGATGTAGTTAGTCTGGTGTGGCTTATTGTCATGTGTGAGAGTTAGAAACATCAGGGATGGTTTAACAATATTGAGGTTGCTTCAGTAAAATATGTTTAAAGAAATCACCAGTGTCAGCTGCTTCAATTATAGATTATAGATCACACAGTGCGAGTACATCTGGGGGTGTGCTTCTTGTCTGGACTACCTCACAAGACTGACATCAACCTCCCAAGCCTGAAAATACATCATTCCCTACTCCCTTTATAATTGAAGAAACTAGGGAGTATCCCTTCTAAGACATTTGCCACACTCTCATTTCTTGTGTGGGCTCAGCTTCCTCTTATCTGACCATTGTCTAGTCTGCAGCTTTCCTCCTGTCTTCCAAGATCATTCCCAAATACATTACACCAGAGGTGGGGAACAATGGCTCCTTTATGATTTGTGGACTTCACAAATCATAAAGAGGGCCATCGTTCTCCACCCCTGCATTACTCATCAGGTTGCAGAGAGGTCTCCTTTAGAAATGGTTGCATAGCTCCCCTTTAAGCCAACCAGGACTCCCTCATCTTGCAATTGTTCAAAAACGATTGTTATATATTTGTAGTGCAGCATTTTCAGGGAAGATTCTTACCTTGGACTGCACATACAAAGGAACCTTCCTGTATATTGTAATGATTAAAATGATTGGGTGGGTTAATATATTCCTTTCAACCTTCGAAAACAATTCAGTTAAAATCTAACTCCAAGATTTTTGCTTTTCCTCAGTTCCCATTTACTTGATCATTAATTTTACTGGGGTAGAAATATGATAAACTAATTAATATAAGGGGTCCCGAAAGATCTTTGCCTAGAGAATACTTTGCTTCTGGCCTTTTCAGTTAATACTGAAAAAATAGTTTTTAGCTAGAATAACGATAGCTTCTTAGCATCCCAGATCCTGCCACTACAATTTGGTGGCAAAATATTTGAATTTGAATGGTTTTCTTTTTCTCCAAAAGAAAAATTCCAAAACAAATTCTCCAAAAATTAATTGTAGGATTTATTTATTTATTTATTTAATTACATTTATATCCCGCCCTTCTCCTTGCGGACTCAGGGCGGCTGACAATAGATAAAATGCTAACATGTTATACATCTAATTAAAAATCAATTAAAAAGAAATATTTAAATGCGTCCAATTTAAAAGTAATTAAAACCCCTTTAAAATCCCTTAGGCCAGTCCCGCGAGCTGGAACAACCACNGAGCGTACAGGTCGGTGGGAGGTAATCTGTGGCAGGAGGCGGTCTCGAAGATAGCCAGGTCCGATGCCATGGAGCGCTTTAAAGATCATAGTCAGCACCTTGAAGCGCACCCGGAAGGCCACCGGCAGCCAATGCAGTTCGCGCAAAAGCGGCGTAACGTGGGAGTGACGAGTCCCTCCCAACACCGCCCGCGCGGCCGCATTTTGGACTAGCTGGAGCCTCCGGGTGCTCCTCAAGGGGAGCCCCATGTAGAGAGCATTGCAGTAGTCCAGACGGGAAGTGACAAGGGATATTAGCTAAAGTGAGCCATTCTGGACAGGAGGGGCTAAATATGGGAATAGAAGTGGGAGATTTCTGGAAACTAAATTATCTCTAGCTTTAACCTACCAAACAGTCTAAAATAAGATCCCCAATGACAACTTTGGATGGTTTGGGAAGGGCTTTGGAGAAGGCTGGGAAAGATAATTGACCAAGGTCCCTGCCCCGTACTTTCCTTTTTAACCCCCAACAAGAATGAAAAGAAAATTGGACAAAAACTTTGGCCACTGATATGCTTCCATCTCCCAAAAGTTTTTTGAAACTCCCTGAGAAAATCTAAAGTGAATTGTATCCCTGAAGATCCCTGAAGATTTGACCTTATGTTTCATAGATTATTTGGATAACACTGAGACATTCACATAAAATATCTGGAAAGTAGATCTTTGTGTTTAAAAATGTATTTTCGATTTCTAAAGAGAAGGAAACCGCACTGTGGAAAGTATATACATTTATTGGTATTCTTCTAAAAAAGGAAAGACTGTTTTTGTAATCTATGACTGTCACCTTTGGTTGCAACTAGAGACCATGGATGTAACTCTTAGACTGAAAATGTTTTTTTTGTATCCTGGATCTCTTTCCTGTCATTTCTTCAGAAGATGACAGTGACCCACACTAGTACACTATGGGCAGCAACAACTGGTGACATAAAGTCTAGAGACTTAAGGCAGCTCTTCCTTGTACTTAAAATGGCCTGCAGGTTATACATACAGGAAACTGCTTTGCAACATTTGCTGCTTTTGGAAAATAGCTTTTAATTTTGTGACAAGGATGAATGAGCCTTAAGGGAGTAGTAACAAGCAACATTTCACTGGAGGTACAAAATCTTGGTTGACCTGCTTTTATAACTGTAGCTCCTGCAAAACAAAGCAGAAGTTTTTGGTTTTGTTTTTAAAAAAATCTGCTTTTTCCTTGGAAAAAGGGAAATGTTAGGTTGTTTTGATACTTTGGGTCCCCCCCCCCTTTCTCTCCTCCTCATTTTAACCAGTGTGCAACATTTTTCAATTCAAATGTATTTTTGAAATACTGTTTCACTTTATTATATCTGTCTTGCTTGAAGTCTTTCCACAATTTTTTGATGAATAAATTCAAGATGAATACATCAATAAGCCAGGAAAGAGTTTGCATTCCTAATAAACACCTTTCTCCATAACTTCGGTGATTAATGCGTATAACTGAGATAAATCACCATATGACCTAATTAAATGGGGAATGTAATTCATCGGGTAATGGCTTTGGTTACATTTGTTTCTTATGTCATTTACTGTGATTTTCTTCTCCTCTTCTTCGCAGACACACAAAACCCATTTATCAAGCTACACACAAATGTACCAGAAATGATACGCACAACTAATGGAGAGGAGTTGATTATCCCCTGCAGAGTTACAGCACCTGATATCCATGTTAAATTAAAAATGGTATACTTTTTCTTTAAATTGCTTGCTGTATGCATTGCTCATTATTTATTTAATTAAAACTGTTTGATTCAGATAAATGAGAGTTAATGCATCAACCATTGTTGGATGCGTTAGTATTAAAGTTAGATGAAGTCATTGGCATGTTTCAGCTTTCTCATATGTTGCTCAGAGTGGATGGGAAATTTTCTAAAAGGCACTATGTGACAAAAACATCTGTAGTCAAGTGACTAATTATATATTTATTGCTGCAAAGAAGAAGTAACACCTGGGACAGAACTATGGGACACTTGCTCAATTTATATTGCATTTTATCCATAAACACATTCAGCAGTGTCTGCAGACTATTGCTGGTTTCATGAATGACACAGTAGCATCACAGCTGTGTGTCACAAGTTCTGGTTCTCTTGGGGGTGTGTGCACAATCACAAGGCATCTACAAAAGCAGCAAGGCTTCCATAATACTGTAACTTGGTTTGCATAACTCAAACACACACAAACCCTGTGTTAACTGGTTCAACTAAAAATCACATGTTCTAATTTGTCTTTTGATGATATTTTATATTTCTTCTTAACTGCCACTGGAGTGCCTTCCAACTCACTTTATTTGTTGTTTTGCATGAAAAATTGCATTGCTGAATGTTCATTGACTTGCTACTGGGACCTTGGGGTGCCCACAAAGTGGATTCAGAGCCTAGATGCAGCCTGCAAGCTGCATCATCTCTTTCTTTTCCTTGTAGTCCATAGCTAGTCAGTTTAGGAAAAGCAGGCTGTCAATGTTTTATTAACCTAGAGAATATTTACAAAGACACTGCTGATTGTGAAGGATGAAGGGGTGGATTTTTTGATTTATGCAAAAAATGACTATGACTGAGGAAAGACAATTAGTCTTACAGCACAGAATAAAAATTCAGAGGAATCTGGTATCACTTTTTCCAACTAACATATTTTATTAAAAGGCATAAACTTTCACAAACAACCACTTTGGTGTAGTGGTGTAGCAATGTAAGGCTATGAATTCTAGTCCTGTCTTAGAAACAAAGGCCAGCTGAGAGACTTTGGGCCAGTCAATCTGTCTCAGTCCTAGGAAGAAGGGAAGGGCAAACCACCTCTGAAAAACGATGCCAAGAAAACTGAAAAGATTAGTCCAGGTAGTTCCCAGGAGGCAAAAATTGATTGGAAGACACACACACCACATCCACAAAAGCTTTCTTGATCTGGAGCTCACTTCAAGAGCTGCTTAGAGTGGCTAGATCAGTGGTTCTCAACCTTTTTAATGCCGTGACCCCAACCAGTCGTAAGTCGAGGACTAAAGCGGTCGTAAGTCGAGGACTAAAGCGGTCATAAGTTGAGGACTAAACTGGTCGTAAGTCGAGGACTACCCAACCGGTCGTAAGTCGAGGACTTTCCCTGCCCGGGAGCGCCGCGCATGTGTGGTTCCGCCCCCTGCGCCGGCCGAGGCGTAGCTGGCAAGCGGCAGAGACGGAGCAGGCTGACCACCAGCTGGCCCAGACCAAGGGAGGTAAGGCACCCGCCGGAAAAGGGAAAAAATGGCAGACAAAAAAAATGGCGGACAAAAAATGGCGGACAGCCTTGCTTGGCGACCCCATGAAATGGTCGATCGACCCCAAATGGGGTCCCGACCCACAGGTTGAGAACCACTGGGCTAGATGGAGGTAGGATATAAATTGGGTTGAACTGGAAAGGGAAGAAGGGATGGAAGGACATACCAACCTGTCTTTCCCTCTCTTTTCCCCCCAACCTACTGCATGCATCTGATGAAGTCAGCTGTAGCTTGCAGAAGAGTATGCTCTTTAATATTGTTAGTTTGAAAAACTGCTACCAGAAAGCTCCTTCTGATTTTTTTCACTACCAAAACCCAACATAGGTCTATCGTCAAAGTTGCCAGCAAAGGCATTACAAAATAAAGATTTTACTCCTTTATTCTTTTGCTTTTTGTAAGTTATTCATAAGCTTAGTTTATGGCTGACAGAATCTCCTGAACCAATGGGCATACTGCTTATTGTCAGCATCTATATATGCAATGATAAATCAGTTTAGAGAACAAAAGAGACTTGCTTCTATTTGGCAGCAGGAACCACAATATAATCTCTAGCATTCAAGGCACTCCAGAATCTCAGCCAGCAGGTTATAAAATAACAGGCAGTGTGTATTGTAAGGCACACTCCTCCCATTATTTCAATAGTTATTATGGCTTCCTAGCAGATTCTGCAAAGATAAAGGAGTATATGCTACTGCGATATGAGCGGTGACTGCTGTTCATTCTGTTAAAGCATCTCATTGTCTGAGCAAATGGCAGAGAGTGAAGGGAGGGGCCTTCCTGTGCAGTTCAGTCCATGCAATGTATGATAATAAAATCCAGGCAGAATGGAGGCTGATAATTTGAAGCATCCGTCAGTCTGTGAAAGAGATGTGAGGAGAACTGGACTGAGAGAAAGGGACTGGCCCAATGTCTTCCAGCTGGCTTTCATGCCTTAGGTCAGGGGTCCTCAACCTTGGCAACTTTAAGACTTGTGGACTTCAACTCCCAGAATTCCTCAGCCAGCAAAGCTTTCCCTGCCCGGGGAAAGCTGGCTGAGGAATTCTGGGAGTTGAAGTCCACAAGTCTTAAAGTTGCCAAGGTTGAGGACCCCTGCCTTAGGTGGACTCACAGTCTCCTGGTTTCTAGAACAGCACCTTAATCACTAGATCAAAGTTAATGCTAAAGACCAAAAATTTCGTTCTAAAGGACAGTGATACTTCAACTAATGTGACCAACTGCTAATCATGTAAAAAACAACAACAACAAGAGTTAGTCCTTAATGTAATTCTGTATCTCAAAGTCACATAAAAAAGTGATCATTTAAATGTATGCTGTATCTACATACGGTATTGGATGGATTGATGGCCCAAAAAGTGTGATGTTACATGCCTATACAGTACGTGATGCCAGAATCCTTAACTCAGTTTTGTGTGTTGCTGAAAAAGTGTTCCTCTCGCAGACAAACTACATTTTACCCAGCTCAGACCTTTATGTAGAATTGAAAATAACTGATATTGCAGTTATGTTGTGATGTTGTACTAATGTTTTAAACCAGGGTTGTCAAACTGGCGGCCTGCGGGCCAGATGTGTCACATGCAGGCCACACCCACCCGGGCTCTGCAAAGGAAAAAATGTCACGATACATCACGATATGTCACGTAACGTGATCGAGTTTGACACCCGTGTTTTAAACAATGCTGGGCAAAGGGATATTTCTGATTTTTTCCCCTGCCAGTTCTCATTTAGTTTAATGGAAGAGAATTTACTTTCAAAATATCTTTCAAAGGCAAACAGAATTGTGAAGAAGCTAATGGGATGTTTATGGAGATTCTCAGCCATCCAGATCATGGTTGTCCCAAAGATGCTTTTTCAAAAGGTAACTGGACTTTCTTTGTTTTTCCTTGAAGACTTCTCATCAAAGAAGCTTCTTCAGTTCTGACTGAATGGTGGAGAATGGAAGGATTTATATTCCTTGTGCTCATCTGGTTGTTAGCACTCTTTCTGAGAGTCATTGAGGCCGCTTGGAGGTTTATCCGTGATGGTTCCAAACCCATCCCTGGGGGCACAGATAAACTTCCAAGTGGCCTCAACAACTCTCAGAAAGAGTGCTAATGATCAGATGACTGCAAGGAATATAAATCTTTCCTCCACCATTCAGTCAGAAATGGATGAGAAGCAAAACATCTTCAAGGAAAAACAAGAAAGTTCAGATGCCTTTTGAAAAAGCACCTTTGGGGAAACTAATGGGATGGAGTACTGGTCTTGTATTTATTTAATAATGAGTCAGTCAGGAAGTAGGCACGTGAAAGCACAAAAGCAAAGAGAAAGAAGATTGTGTAAAGGACAAGGATTAGTAACCCCTTCTAGAAAGCATGCATCTCAGGGACAGAAAAACAAAATAGTTTGTGTACATGCAATGTTAGTGAAGGGTGGATTCATGTGTTTATTACACAATCTGTTCAGGAGTCTGCAGAGTGCCTAGCTTCCTACACAGATTTCCAAGGCAAGATGAAATACCCCTCATTTTCAGTAGCTATGCTACTATCACAACTAATGGAGAGTCTTGCTTTTGATAAATTGTTGGAGATAATTCTTCTCACAATTGCTTTGAACACATATTTGGTGGGGAAGGTGGACCTGCCATAATCTTAAACATCGATAATTAAAAGGGTGGACTGAAAGTTTCTATTACTGAATTCTCTAAGTAGTTGGGCTAAATTTAAAATGTATCTGCATTTACAGAATATCAATAATTGTGGTTTGTATGTAGAACAATATATATGGCACATATATGTATACCACAGAGTTTAGCCATCATGAATATGGTTATACGATGAAAGGTTCACAATTCTGATTTTATTTTGTTTTGTAGCTTTGGAATATTGTGGCAAATGTTAGAATTTATTTCCACTAGAGTACAGTTGAAAAACAGCCAGATCAAAGAACCGATGACATATTAATCCAGTTGATTCTCTGTTGTTTCAGCATTTTTTCATACAACTGATAATGATGTTTCTTCTGTCATAACAGAAAAGATAGAGAATGGATGAATAGAATTATGATTTTCTGTTCCATCCTGTTTTAGAGGATATTAGATTTACTGGATTCTTAGCTGATGCATAAGCCATGTGTTTTCTGTGAAATTACCTGGTTAATAGTTTATTTCTATATATAAGAAGTCTGAAAAGACTTTGCATCTGATTCCAAAAGGTGATCTTGTGTGATAGAATAAAGTGTTTCATATACTCCTGTTCCCTGCTTTCCTCTTATGTTGCAAGGACAGGGCAACCTGAATATTATCTGCTCTGGGTCAACAGATCATGAGAAGAGGATTTAGAACAATGTTTCTCAACCTTCTCAACTCTAAGATGTGTGGACTTCAATTCCCAGAATTCTCCAGCCAACAAATTGGCTGAGGAATTCTGGGAGTTAGTCCATACATCTTTAAAGTTGCCAAGGTTGAGAAACATTGGTTTAGAATAGGGGTATCAAACTGCCGGCCCGCAGGCCGGTTGCATCATATGGAGGCTGCGCCCACCCCAGCTCCAGCAATGCAAAAAAAAAGTCATGATATGTTGCGCCATGTCACATGACGTGCCGAGTTTGACACCCATGGTTTAGAATGAAACAACCTGCAGTACTGCAAGCTGCTGTCCATCTACCTCTCCCAGAGCATTGTACTGGGGGTCTAGAAGGATCTTTTTCTCCACAACTTCCAGCCTGATCTAGCCTCTTTTGGACTTTTGCCAGCGCGTCTCCAATGCTGTATGTGATCCTGTTTTGTTCAGTTTTCAGAGATTATTCATGTTGATGGGCAGATGGCAGAAACCTGACCCCTTTACATAAGTTGCTTCTTCTATTTGTTTGGAAAGAATAAAAAAATAAAATCACAGACATATTTGTGGTGTTGTCCCATCACACTGTCTCGTTGCCTCTCCCTTCCCACAGGGACGTTAAGTGCAGCCCTTGAGCACTAAAATATGTACTGCTGCTATATTTTATTTTATTTATTGCCAAATGTCTAATTGTAGTCATCATGGGGTTTTTCCAGCATGGCTCTAATCTATGGTATGTATCCCACTTAGAAAATTGCCTTTCAATTTTTGATCTAAACACCCATTTGTTTGCTTGTTTTGTCTTTCTTGGAAGGGCCTGCCATTGCATTAGGAAATATCTCAACACCTCACTCAGAAGCAAATTTGCCATTATGTACAGTATGTGACATGTTTGCTAATAAAAAGAAAACCACTTCTTACTAAATAGCACAATTCATATTTGTCAATAGGAAATTAAGAGCAGGGCAATTTTGTTTGGAAAGTCCCATGGACTTTTGCACTATGACAAAATTTGCATGAAATAGTCAATTTTTAAACCAAGATTTTCCGGTACTAAGAGACCAAAAGGTTTTCAGATATCTTCTGTATTATAATTAGATGATTTACTGACCATTGCAATATCACTGTCCATGCCAACTGCAAATCATTCTAATATATTTGCAAATCAACAAATCATTCCCAACTGCAGCCCCCAAGTTATTCTCATCATCCATAACCTCAAAATGGGTTGATCATGGCTTTGTAATTGACCACCTATTGTCAATCATTGCTTTGTCTATGCTAGTCAAAAGCTCTACTACAAGCCAATCAGTGCACTCTCTCTCTGCTTCAAATCAGTCACTAAATTTACATCTGTCCCTATCCAAAGCTTCCATTTTATTTTTTTTTATTTTGGTGAAACAAATAGAAAAGATCCTCAGTTTATGTGGCAAGCTCTATTAATTGCATTATCCCAACTAATTCAGAGTCTGGCAAATCAGCAAACTTGTGTTTTGGATTTCTCTCTAACCTGGGCTGAATGAAGTGGAGCTGTATGAAGAAAATACAAATACCAGATGTCCCCATTCAAGTGCAGTTTTCATAAACCGCAGAAATGCAGTTGTGTGCAATAGATAAGGCATGTTCTATAACTCCCTGAGGTTCTTTGTCATAAAATGTTATTAAATTGATCATTTATTACTTCTAGGATTAATAAATACTTAAGAAAATAGTGGGGGAAATAATGCATTAATTTCATTTTAGATACCAGGAGGAACCATCATTCCTGATGGGAAGACAGTCATCTGGGATAACACAAAAGGCTTCATAATTCCAAAAGCAACATATAAATTCATAGGGCTTTTTAGCTGTGAAACTATTATTGATGGTCATGAATATAGCACCAAATACCTGACATATAGGCTAAGTAAGTACTTTTCTATTCATCTCAGTTTTTCTTTCTTTCTGTTTAACTAATCATCCATCCAGTTCAATTTTGCTTTTTTTATATTACATAGACAATGAAATCATTAGTGTCCAGGTAAATGACTCAAAACCAGTGAAGCTATTCAAAGGACAAAGTCTGGTTCTCAACTGTAGTATTACTGCAGCCTGGAACACCAGAGTGCAAATCACATGGACTTATCCTGGTGAGGTGTGTACTCTTTCCTTTTCTTTTTAAAACACTAATGAACAGCCTAATAAAATATTAACTAAATAAGTGTACTAATTTCTTGTTCTTCTGCTGAATTTTCTTATATGATTCATTTTATTTTCCATGTTGCGTTGGAAAATATAGTTTTATATTGCATCACTGAATGAGCAAGACTACATAATATAGTTGCATAAATTCAGTGTGCATATTTCATAATACATTTATTTTTAAAAGTTTCAAACTTGGAAATTTCTTAGGTGTCGTGATTAGTAATACTTATTACACAATGTCAAAGGGTTTTATTTTATAATAGACTTCCTCAAAGTAGGCTTCCCACTCAGTTTCAGAAAGATACTAGTTGACTTGTTCAAAATTTCAGTTGGTCTCTGAGCAAATCACTTCATCAGTGACAAAATATGGTTACGGAGCTTTTCTTCACCACATTTTTGCATATTCAGCCATGTACAAATATCTGCCAAATTTCCAAGAAAAGCTTGTCAATTTTCCATTGGTTTTTAATAAGGTTAATGTATGGGAAAATTCAAACCTAGTTGAGGTTTGGCCTAGTCAACCAATGCTTAAGCGTATATTGCAAAAGGTCCACTAATTATTTCCCTTTTCTGATAGAACTTCCACTTTTCATCTGCATACATAAAGAAGGGTAATGGATACAGTATTACTAGCAGATTTCCTCATATTTTTCTTGGTTCTACACATTTTTGATTGTACCAGATAAGTCTGAATGCAGAACTCAGTCCAAAATAATTTCCCTGATTACATGCTGAAGGATGGTTAATAACTTTTAACAGAGACATTTTATCATAAAATTCATACTGATATATATTAAACATAATTATATAATATAATGTCTATATAAGCATTTCTATATTCATAGAAAAATCTGGTTTATGATCCCTATAAAATAATTCTAAAACAACAGGTTCTAGATGATATTCAGTTCTTTCCAATACAGTGTTTTTATGACCATATATCTAGGAATTGCATAACAAAACAGCATGAGAATAAAGTTAAAGCTTATCCAAAGCCATGCATTAAGATATTAGGGAGAAATTAAGAGTTGGGGGCAGCCAGTGTGAAGTAGTGGGTCTTTTAAATAATTATAACAGTGATTTTCAATCTTAGCAACTTTAAGATGTGTGTACTTTGACTCCCTAATCAACTCTCAGAATTCTCCACAATTCCTCAACATGGCTGGCTGGGGAATTCTCGGAACTGAAGTCTGCACATCTTAAAGTTTATGAGGCTGAGAAACACTGTTCTAAAGGGATAAACCCAATTAAATAGGTACAGTATATTTGAATAAAGTCTCATTTAAATTATGTTCATATTCTGTTAACTCACTTGATCTTTATTAGAATTAGATGCCAATTCCCCTTCAAATAAATATGCAGAATTTTCATTCAACAGCATATGGACTTTATCTAATATCACCATTTTGCTCCAACAAGACCCAAACAATTAGTTAATCCCTTTATATCTTGAGGGCCAGTGGCTGTGAAAAGGTAGATATTGTACATTTGTCATTTTTCAAGGAATATTTTCCAAAAGGAGAAGAGTATTAACCATTTCACAAAGACTGGGAATGGCTATTATGTGAATACAATAGGAAAGTAAGTCTCAACACAGATCACATGTGACATTTTTGCCTGTGTAGATTTGTGTGTTCGTTTGAAGAATTATCTTTCAAGATAAATTAGTGGAAAGTTTCCATATCTAATTAATGATAATAAATTGTCTTTAATCTGGAGTTGCATGTTAAATTGTGACCACTGTATAAATTCCAAATAACAAATGTTGATAGTAATAAGTCCTGTGTTACTTTTTTCTTCTGTCTAGGCAAGCAAAAGAGGCACCATTAGTAGAAGCATTCAACAAGGAAAAGATGGGTCCAACCTATTCTACAGCATCCTTGTTGTTGATAAAGTCCATGATATAGATAAAGGCCAATACATCTGCAATGCTAAGAGCGGACCATCACTCAAATCAGATAGAGTAACAGTTTTTATTTATGGTAAGACATAATTTGTGTACCTTAAATGTCAGTTATCCATACTCCACTGGCAAGGATTGCGATTTAGAGCTTAGATGAGACCATTGTTATGATTTTGTGCTTTTTACAATGGTTTGTCCATGTGCCACTCAGTTGTGCTATATTTCACACTGTCACAATTGTAAAATAGGTAGTTGTACAAATTGACTAAATAAGGGCATAGCCATGCATATCACAAACCAATTCCAAAACATGTTTTCCATGTAGCTTAAAAGCAGCTACTTAAGGCTTTACAGGTAGTCCTTGACTTACAAACAGTTCATTTAGTGACCATTCAAAGTTCTAACAACACTGAAAAAGTGACTTATGACCGTTTTTCATACTTACTATGGTAGCAGCATCCCCGTGGTCATGTGATCAACATTCAGAAGCTTGGCAACTGACTCCTATTTATGATGGTTGCAGCATCCTGGGGTCATGTAATCAGCTTTTGTGACCTTCACTTAACAACCATGTTGCTAACTTAACAACTGCAGTGATTCATTTAATAACTGTGGCAAGAAAGGTTGTAAAATGGGGCAAAATTCACTTAACAAATATCTCATTTAGTCACCAAAATTTTGGGCTCAATTGTGGTTGTAAGTCAAGGACTATCTCTGGTGAGTTTCTTCCTCATGGCATTGCCTCAGTATTTTAAACGTAGCTTTAATTTCAAGTCCACAAGGGGATGACTTTCATAAGTTCTCATTAGAAGTAGTATATTCAGGCTACTTATTAATGTGTTTTATGGTTTGCATTGTTTTTATGTTGAAAGTGATATTGGAACTCAGGAGAGCTCTGATTTTATTGGATGATTAGTGAGGACATCTTTGAGGGCTTCTTACATTGTTCTTTACATGCAAAAGTATTCCTACTGATATTGACAGTCCCTCATATAGTCTTTTGTGTACAAATCAAATTGCCTATATTATGTTTAAGGTATTAATCAATATCTTTAGAACATAATTTTTTTCCTCTTTCTTTTTTTCTTGTCTTTAAAGATAAAGCATTTATCACCTTGCAACATCGACAAAAAAACATGCTGGATGTTATGTCTGGCAAGAAGTCCTATCGACTTTCTATGAAAGTGAAAGCATTTCCTACACCAGAGGTTGTATGGTAGGATTACAGTTACTTCTACCTAGAGAAAGAAGCCATTTATTTGACAAGATAACCTATTTGCCCAGGATTAAATAGTTCACCTCTAAGTAAAAAAAATATATTAAATAAAGATGTCCTGAAATGGACCTGAAATATCTGCTTTAATTTTCACTATTTAAGAATCTGTCAGATGACTGTGTTCATTTTATTGGGATTAATGTCTTGCAGTAAATGAAATTCAGCATATTTGATCAGAAAGAATACTTCAGCATTCTGTCACATATTTAATATTCAAGGAGGAAATATTACAAATTTTATAGATCCATTTTCAAACTGAACCAATAGTTTTATCTTGTATTTAAACTCTTCATGAAAATAAAATGTTGTTGGAAGAATTCGAAGAAGAAAAATATTGCACAATTTTTATTGGGTCAAGAACTACACTAATGTTTGAATAGTACATTGGAAGTCACATTGCATACAAGTTTGGAACTACGTAAAATATTTTTAAAATATGTCTGTAGTGGGACAGAATACAGAGAAAGAATGAAAAATAAATGTTAATATTTTTTTAAGTACTAATAGTTAAAATGTTTAATTATTTCCTACATGTACAATATTCACAAATAAAGACTTTCATATAGAAGAAATGGGATAGCTGTAGTGTGTGGGTTTGCTGTTGATATACAACAGACTAAGGAAACATGAAAGGAACATGCTTGATTCCTTTATGGGTTGCATTGCAAGGCCAAAGTCACAGGTTGTATATTTATTGATTCAAATAAGAATTCCATATTCTTGAACAATATATAACTTTCAGGACATACACATTTAATAACTGTTATGAGGCTAAATTGGGGAGATTCAAAGTATGGAGCTTTATTAAAGAAGAAACCAAATCAAAGCAAACACTTAAGAAGTTCTACTTCCAGTTTCTACTAAATACTGTTTATCAAATAACTCTACAAAGACCATGCAGAGGATATAAGGACAGTCATTTGACTGTTACTGTTCTCAAGCAACTGACAATAAATACAATAGTTCTGCCGTTGGTCAGAGCCAGCTTTACCGTTATATGAAGTAAAGCAGCTAGCACAGGTTGCAAGTTGGGAATATAATAGAAGTGTAGCAAACCAATTTTTGTTTTTATGACCAGAGATCAGAAGAAGCTTTTCGGTTATATATATATGAAAATAACTTGGCTTTGGATAGTATACAAATTGACTTGGCTGAGTGGGAGGCATAGTTTTTGCTCTGCCTCAAACAGGAAAACTACTTGTACCTTATTATGTTTTATCATAAGACCCAGAAGTCCTTGTCAACTTTATCCTCCATGGATCGGTCAACTCCTCTTTTAATGAGATTTCTTATTTTCCTCCCTCACAATTCAACAGACATATGAAAATTCATAAATGTAATATAGAAATGAGTTCTACATTTTGTCACTGGCATTTTCATTTTGACACTTTCTTTCTTCATAATAAAGCGTGAACATTTTAAAGGGTATGTGCTGTCCTGTGAGAAAAGAAGTTATTTTAACTGGTGCCTAATTCTGAGATGCTTATTAAGTTATATAAATTATATTTGCAGTAGCTAAATGACAAATTATTGTGGTCTTTGGTTCAGATCCATTCATTAGCAAGATAAAAAGGGTGTTACTCCCTTGTGATACAATAGAAACTTCCTCTCTTTTCCCTGTCAGTGAGAGAATTAGCCCCTGTGTCTCTCTGTAGTGAGTTCCCCATAATACGTGTTTTAAGCTTCATTCTGTTAGTACATATTTGGGTTTATGTTTAGAAGTGCCCACATGTTCCAAGTGGATCTAATATAGTCATTTATCAACCTGCAGTTTTAACTAGCGATAAAAGGATAACAGTAGTCATACCAAATTAAAGTTGAAAATTCCAGTAACAGCTCTCCAAATGTCTGTTTGTTGTTTTTTCCCCCTCCTAGCGAGGGTGTGCCAATGAAGGCAATTGTCTAGGCAAGCACAAAGTACTGAACATGACACAACATAGTAATTCATTCAGAACAATAAAAATATTCAATTAAAATACAACCATAGCAGTTATAACAATGTTTCTTCTCTGACTTCTGGAGAGAAAAATTACATTGACATACAGACGGCATGAGAAAAAGTATAAATGCAATCTCAGATGAATATTCTGCCCATGGACATTTACAGTCTCAAAAAGGTTCTGAATCAGGCTTCCATGTTTTGTCTTTCTTTGTTTTTTGTTGAGGTCACAAACTTTCTGATTTTATTGCACTGTATGACTCCACCTGCCTACGCTTTTATTTGCTTCCTGCTCGGTTGATCAGCAGTTGCTCTGAATCATTGTGTTAAAATAATCAGTTACTGTACTTAAGGAGCCCTTAATCGTAAGGCAGTGAGGAATGAATATTTCAGTGCACAGAGGGTGACAGGAAGGCAAATATGCCTATGTTGTTGTTCAGTCTCTAAGTCATGTCTGACTCTTCGTGACCCCACGGACCATAGCAATGCCTGTCCCTCCTATCCCCCACTGTCTCCCGGAGTTTGCCCAAATTCATGTTCATTATGTCTATGACACTACCTGAAGTCAAAATATCAAACACTTGTGCACTCGCTCACACAGACCTGTAAAATACCAAGTTCTTATATTAGATTTAAAAAAAAAAATCATGTTTTTGTTTTTGTGTCTTGTACCCGAGATCTCTCAATATATGGCTTCTTTTGCTAATGACAACTTTAAAATTATGTGCCAATTACTTAAAGCCATAGTATTTGCATGCAAAGGAATTTCCCCAATTTATTTATCTATATATTATTTCAACAAAGACTACCTTTGCATCTTTTTTTCTCTATTAGAGCTATGAAGTGATCTTAACACTTCATGATAAAATACTAGGCCTGTAGGATTTGGAAGTTGCAAAACATCCTGGAATTAGAAAAAAGCCAATATTTAATATGTTGTTACTATTAGAACAACTTTTTGCCGTCCATGAGGGTACCAGAAATTATGTTTGTCTCAAACATTTTAGAAACTTAAATTTAGCGGACTACTGTTATATGATCTAATAGAAGGTGCATTTCATAAATTTTAGAAGTATACACAAATATGCATATAGATGATAAGAGATTCATGAGGTAAAGAAAATATTTCTCTGAATCTAGTTTGTTTAGGCAGACATGTCAAACTCGAGACGTTATGTGACATCGTGCAATGTATCGGGATGGTTTTGCCATTGCCAGCAATGGGGTGGGCGTGGCTTCCGGATGATGCGTCTGGCCCTGGGCCGGCAGTTTGACACCCCTGGTTTAGAGTATTAAGGCAGTTCAGTCATGTTGTTGGCCTTACTGTTGAAGTATTATTAGAGGTAAACATCTTAGACAGATGTGCTCTAAAAAAGTGATATAGAGAGGAAGAATTGCCCCCTCCCCTGCCACGCCTACTCCATCACAATAAGATGCCTTATAATTTGGTCCAAACAGGGAAATGTGTGTTTTCTGCAAACCCATTGTTTTTCTGCACATTTCATACAACTTCTATAGTTCTAATTGACCTGAGATTTTCTTGGGTCATGAACATACTATTTAAGGAGTGTTTTTGTATTACTTGCTTGTGAAACAATGGTATCAATTTTGATCTCATTTTTGTCTTTGTTTTCATTCAAATCATTCTAAATGGCAGTGGCTATTCCTGAATTCATTAGTGTTTCACAAAAGCAGTCCTACAAGACTGATTAGGAAAACAGTTCCCTACATGCATGTGTGGCATTAGTTCACCATACTTTCAGCCAAATTTAATGTGTGCTCTAAAGCTTGGATTTCCACCTTTGAAACAATCACATTTCTAAATAAAAAATAGAAGCTGGAAAAGAGTTGGATGCAGGCCCACAGCCTGGGAATGCTATTTGCCATTGGATTTAAAGGAGGCAGCTGTTATGAAGAGTACATTTGCTTAATCACAGCTAGTGGTTTGCTATGCCTTTTTCTGGCCTAATTCAATCTGGCAATTGCCTCTTATCTTGACTACTACAATTTATTCTTCTGAGATCCAGTCTGAAAAAAAAATGTTGAAAGTAGCCTCTAGTCTGCTAACTGGTGTATTGTAAGATGTAAGGATCATGATTCTTTGATTGAAGAACCAGCATTAGTTGCCAATTGTTCATCAGATTCAATTTAACATATTAAATGACTTAAGGTTTGAATAAGACTATTTCACTGTCATTAGCCTGTTGTTATATGTTTTAAAATTGCCAGGAAAAGTTTTGTGTTTCTAGCACTTGGAAAAGACCCACCCCTGTGGAATCTCTGCCTTTAGAACACACATTTCATCCCAGTTAGACCTCTGAGAGCAATAAGCCTCAAGTCTTTGACCATAGTTTCATGGTCAAATCTACTGACATGGTCAATTGCAATGGTCAATTCTCAATTTTTTGTGTATTATTATTATTTAGTTTCCTCACCTCTCTTTTTATGTCGGTTTTATTAGCTACTTGAATAGATTGAACAGAAAGGCAGGAAATACCACAAATAATCAATAAAATAATGTTTATTAAAGTAAAATAATGAGCAGACATTAGCATTGCTATATTAAAGATTTAAATCAATTTTTATAAGATCTAAAATTAAATCATATATTTAAAAAGATATTGTTGGAAATGTAAGCAAATCAGCAATTATTAGCATTTTAATTGTGTGCTTCCTTGTGCATACACTTGAGATGTGGCATCAGATCCCCAAATATCACACTTGGTTATATCCACCTCATCCTCTATGACTGGTTTGCATGGGGAGAGGGCTGCAACCTCCTCCTTCTCCTCCTCCTCCTCCTTTTCTTCTTCTTTTGATTAAATGGTACCATTTCTTTCTATAAATCAGCCTCTGAGAGCCTTAGCAGTAGTAATAGTAATTGAACGATATCAGAAGAGAAGGACACTCTCTTTTTCAGAGTGATTTGTCGAGGAGTTTAACCATTTAGACCAAACATGTCAAACTCATATCGGAGCAATGGGGTGGGCGCAGTTTCCTCGTGATACATCCGGCCCGCAGGCCGGCAGTTTGACATCCCTGATTTAGACTGACTTTCAAAAGAACCAGTTGTTGATTCTGGGTGATCATTTAGTCCAAAGGTGTCAAATTCACCGCATGATGTGTCACAATGTATCACAACTTTTTTCCCCTTGCTGGAACTGGGGTGGGCGTGTAACGCATCCAGCCCATGGGTCGGCAGTTTGACACCCCTGATTTAGTCCAAACAACTACATTCAATATAATAAAGCTTCATCATCTTTGAGAAGAGTAGAGACATAATACAGAACCATTTAAATGTCACACTGATGTTAAGAATGACATTTCAAACACTTGGGAGTTATTTTCAGTTTCAAATTATTGCCAGTAAAATTATTAGCTTTGTAGATTTAAGATAGTATTAAAATAGGAGACATTTTTCTGGGTTATATGTTCAAATATTCTGATGTTCCCTAGAAATTTTAAGTTTGGAATGTCTTTTAATAAAGAACTAAAACAGGAGGAATACCACACACTCCAGGAGACTGTGGTTGTAGTTAACTCCTGTCACTTTTCTGTATCCATGTATTCCCTAATAATATTTAATAAAAGTAATGTCCAACATTTCATTTCATGAATACTTCAAACACTTCACATTTCTTTTAACAACTAGTATTTGAGTAGGAGTGAAATGAGTAAATGAATAAAAATGAAGATTATTAGCAGCTACCCATTAATATGGATTTTGAATAAATCCACTAAATTGACCATTAATTAGCTTTTAAACATTTATAAAGTCTTGTAATATAATTTGTTCCTCAAACCCTCAATGTCTTACATCAGACCTGCACAGCAGAACTGAGTCTGGTCCACAGAAGATTTAGATATGGGTCCCCTAGACATTATTCAAAGCCTGTCTTTAAAGATTATCATTTTTCATGGATGTAAGTGGAAAATTAGTAAATACACAATCGAAGAGTAATCATATTAACCACATTAATGTAATTCCAGTGAATTACAAAAAAATATATATCAGTTTTTATACTTGCTGTTCCTATTTCTTCATATTGGCCTTAACTATAAAGTATGCCTCTAGCGTGCTACTAAAAGAATAAGTGTGGTTCTTGATCCATAAAAACGTGCTCTGCTTATTTCCTATAAATGTTTATATATCACATAGGTAGCATGTGTAGCAACATCACAAGCAATTATGGATTTGATTGTCTTTTCACAGGTTGAAGGATGGGTTACCTGCTGCTGAAATGTGTGCCAGATATAAAATTAAAGGTTTCTCACTCATTATAAAACATGTTGCTGAAGAAGATGCAGGAAACTACACTATAATGTTGAGCACCCGGCAATGGAACCTACAAAAAAATTTAACAATAACACTCAAAATAAATGGTGAGTCCACATTACTAGCAATGACAGTAAGCTGCAATCCTATAGACACTTATTTGAAAATTAAGTTATCTTGAATTCTGACTAAACATAAATATTCTAAAAATGTTTTCATTATCAGATATCACCTTGTTATGCTAAAATCACTCTGACAATGAAAATGTCATTTCCACGCTCAGCTTTTCTGTCACCAGCTGATTAGCTTATGTGCTGCACTACCATGCAATGGTCTGTGCAGATGGGTCGTTTGAGCCAGGCAGCTCTGCCTGCAGCCAGTGCCCTCTCTTCATCTTCCCTCTTCATCTCATTGGCTTCTTACAAAAAGAAGGGGGAAAAATAAGCTAGTCACTATCAGATGAGGAGTGTAATTGTTTGTCTACTGGAGAAAGATAGGGCAGAAGGAGCCCACCACTTGGATTCTGGAGAGAAGGAGGGAATTCTAGAGGAAGTACTGTAGTTAGGTCAGGTTGGAAGTCCCTAGAACTGTAGCTCCAAAACAAGCATTGCAAAACTGCTATTGCAGCACTTCTGAAGCAGAGGACAAACTGTTTCTGATTTTCCAAGGCTGTTGGAAGTTGCATTGTAGGCAGCAATGATGTCAGATCAACACACACTGTATGTGGAAGAGGCCAAAGTCTTAGTTTTTCTTTAGAAACAGTAATTATTTCCATTTTATTTTAGAATAAAATTTCAGTTTACTCCTGTTCTTGTTTGTTAACAGTGAAACCTCAGATTTATGAAAAAGTGTCATCAATTCCTGGTCCTAATCTCTATCAACTAGGAACTAAGCAAATTTTAACATGCATTGTTTATGGTATTCCTCAACCTGTGATAAAATGGACCTGGCAGCCATGTCAACAGAACCATTCCAGAACAAGGTAGATCATTTTTTATCCTTGCTTCCAATACTCTATCATTGGCCTTCTATGTTGTCATTAAACATCTTCTTCATGCAATTTGCAACTCAGCTTAAGGTATTTACGATGTCTTAATTTTTAAAATGTTTTAAATTAATTATGTTGGTATTACGAGTCATAGAGGAGGAGGTGGGATGCCTTGATGAGCCAAAGCTGGTTTTAATGTGGAGTTCTTGGTGCTCTCTGAGCTTCGTTGTTTGCTTGCTGATGTTTTGTTACCCATTAGGTAACTTCATCAGTGTCACTGGTTTTGTTCCTCAGGCAGGTTATCTAAAGACATTGTTGGGATGAAAAGAAATTAAACAAGCACTGATTTTTATCCTGAAATTGCAGCATACCTGTACAATGCTTATAAATATGCTGCTTGATTATTTGTTTGAATATCTTGCCTTACATACATATCAGACTGATGGATCTGTAATCTGAAAAACCTTTGAAGTTCATCACTATCTGAAGTTCAGTATACAAGCTTTAGTTCCTCTTCCTTCAGAGAGCATATATTCAAATATAGCATGATCGCTTTCCCTCAAGATGCCACCTTTAATTCTTCATCTGATTCTTGCCTGTTGGTGGGGATTAAGAATAGGATAGGAGACCCTGCTTTTTTCACCTTTTGAGAAATGGAGTTGTCAGGAAGAGAGGATAAGAATGTTTTGGATCTCTGAGCCTTGGCAGAGTTAGATTCCCAGAAGATGTCAGGATAATTTAAATGCCATATGAAAAGACTGGTTTATCCACCTGTCTTTCTGTCATCTATCTACTTATCTTTTTTTCTTGGATTTGTTATTCACAAATAAATTATAGCCTTTTAGTGTTATGGATCAGCCACGAGAATCACTGTGAACCAGGCCATTCTCCCTTATACTGACTGGCAGTTAAGAGCAAAGTTCTTAACCATACCCAAAGATTGAACTCAGGATCTTTTAAAGAAAAGAGTTTGATCACAGAGCTATGGTTATTCTCCTCTTCCTTTCTATTGATAGAATTAGAGGAAAAAGAATTAGCTTGGAAATGCGCCACAAACTTCCGCTTACCCACTGGGACTAAAATATACTGCTGTACTTCCCAATAAGAAAAGTATGGTGCCATTCATTTCTATAAGCAACAGAAATCAAAAAAGGAAAGGCCAGGCCAGAGGTAGAAGTAATGAGTGCCAAGGAAATGGACCAGATGTCAGCAGAAAAACATTAATGAAGGAGAATTGAGCAATGACAGACATATGGGTGGAAACATGTGGCTGCATTGTTGAAGTGAAGAAAGTTGGTTATGCAAGAGACTGAAAAAAGTCCAACCCAACTGATTCTTTGAAATTTGCTCTACAGTTGAAGAGTTCATAAGACAGAGTACAGTCTCTGAGACAATGAGATCTCTATATTCACACACTCATACTCTTCTGAGTGGGAGAAGGCATTCTTTGACTGGGTTTTATTTTAAGGTAGCTCAACAAACAATGCGTTAAACAGTTTCATTTAATACATGAACTCAAAGACATACATTTAATACATGGACTCACATTCCTTTCACTCTTGAATGAGAATTCAAAAACACTTCCTTACAGCTGAGTAGAAGTAAATATATTGGTATGAACCTTGCTATCTTCTCTGGAAAACCCTACTCTGCAAAGGTACCATGGTAGTAAATGCTGCTGTCTTTATGTCTACCACATACAAGGCATTAAGAACAGGGATTGGCGGAATCCTCTGACTTTGTTTTTCTGCCTTCTCATCAAACATTACTAGTCAGAGGATAAATATGCACTGAACATATATTCATTAATGTAGCTAGGACATAAAGTAAATGGCTTTGAGTTCAGTTATCTGGCACTATTAACTTCAAAAGAAAGAGATTGAAGAGCAATTTATATCAGCTGTTTATTTATTTAACATTTTTGTAGGCTGCTGCAATCTAGTTGTCACTCAGCAGCTTACACCAAAAGACTGCTATTCCAAAAGAACATTAAATTTGTCTTCAAAATCAGCCTAAATAGTAGCTGATCAAAGTAGGGAAAGTTCTTTCCACAGTATCAGTAGCAGAGAAAGAAATAACTCTCCCGTTTCTTCACCATGTAAGCTTTATCCGCACTTTCTCCTCACCATTGGACAGCTGCTATTCAGGCTGATCCAGGTTCCTCAGCCAAGGATTGGGTCTGAGAACTAGCAGGTAAAGATGAGAGCTTGGTTTGAAAGATACTGTCCAAAGCAAAAGATGTTGGCCAGAGACTGAAGAAAAAAGACAGGCCTGCATCATCTAAAGTGAGCAATTGATGTTAAGCTGGCTGTACTGCTAACAGAATGGTCAGTAAAATGCCTTAGATAATATCTACAGCAAAACTATGTTGCATTAAGGTGAAACATGACTTTAACACTGACATAGATAAGGATGACTTCATGCTGACTTATGGGCTTGAGATCAGACAAAGACATTGTTCTGAAAGATTGCTGTGGTATGCTTGTGCTCTAGATAGATGCAATGAACAAAGACTGAAAGACAAAACTACTAGGACAGTTTCAAGTCAAAGAGAAGAAAGTTTTTTGCCTCAAAATAACTTTTTTTGCCCAACAAAATTATTATGGAGTTAGGAACAGTTATTTCTGTAAAGCACTGTTTCAGAACCAGATAATCTTCAACATGTATTGGCTCTTGACTCTCTGAATGCCACAGTCACCATGTGTCTGCAATTGATCAGATGAGTTGTAATCCCGTTATGGAGAAGACTGTTCAAATTGGCCACTTCAGCTGTCAGAGCGCGTAGTTAGTTGGGACTATCCTTAGACCTGATTCCCTTAGGCTGGGAAAGACTGATTGTTCCTTCATGACATTTTTTACGTGACCTCTCATACTGCTAAGTTAGCAATTCTATAAATTACTCTTCCTGTGTTCATTCTCAGGAAATCTTATGTTTCCAAAATTCAAACTAGCCATTTTTAAATATTTAATAGTATTATTACTAGGTTAACAATCAAGTTATTACCTAAAATATCCTTCATTATTGTGGTATCCTGACATACATTTTCACGTAGCCCTTCCTGGGTAATGCTGGTATTGATGTGAAAGACGTCTGTGTGGAAGAATCAATTGTACAACGAATCCTCATGGAAATTATGTTAGAATATGGAAATCCTTATTCTATTGAAAGACAACAAACCCAATTTGACCCAACAAACCTAATTTGATGTTTGATGGGATAAAAATGGCTACATGTCTATTTGTGATCATGCAAAAGTGATTGCTAAAATGAAACATGTAAGAATATTGTGAGCTGCACAGTCACCTCAAAATATGACATGGGCAGCATATTATTGAATTAAATAAATAAATTAAATAAATAAAGTGCATGCAGAATGACACTCCCCCCCAAATATCTTAATAAAGAAATTGAAAATGCTCAGTGAAAGAGGTTATTAGTTGATTGTTCAGATGTAACGAGAAAAATTGGAGGAAAAAAGAAAAATATGGGTTAACACGGATACTCACACTTCCGTGTCAAAAGTTCCATGCTTTTGTTTTATTTTTCCTTTTGTTTTAACCAATGCTTCCAAAATTTGACCAGATGAAATGGCTACCTAATTCATATATCCAAAACTGTTTTAAGAACAATACATATTTGGAATTTTAAAATAATAAAGTTAAAGGTCAGGTGAAATTACTAATCAGTCCCCAGCGACTTGAAATGTTTCTCCACTGTAGACCATCTTCTAAAAATTTGAGAAAGAGTTATTGCCCATTGCTCATAATTGCTCATTAGCCAAGAGTATTCTGCATTTTGGCATTCATCCAACTGGAGAATATACTGTATTTCCCAGCATTAAATCTTTCTGAAACAATTCAAAACATCCAGTCTATTTTGATGAGTCAGCTCTGGATCTGTGCTCATCCAAATATGCTTGGAACAGGGACTAAACTAAAAATAACTATTGCTGATTACAGTGTATGCACATCATGCGTAATAGGTAGATTGGATCTAAGTGCTTGTGGTTGAATTATCCCTTTTGTTTTCTTTTTTAAAAATTCATTCTCCAGAATAAATTACTAAATTACTTTCTCAGTGGAAACCTCCTGAAAATGAAGCAGAAGATGTCAAATGCTCTATCTACAAAGCAAATTTATCTATTGTTAGTTCTGTGTTCTGTCTTTAACTCAGGAGTTCAAATTCTCTGTAGCTGACCTTCTCATGCTTACCTGAAGGGCCAGGTTGGTCTCCATCTTGCCATAATGTTCTTTCTGGGACACAGAGGACACAATCTCTTGGTGGTTCTTTGACCTCATCAGCAGATGAATAAGCCATGTTCAGATATTTATTTATCACTACATGTTATTAATAAATGCATTTTGTACCAGGTGGATTTTATTCAGGAGATATAAAAAACAGAGATAATTGGTTTCACAAAGTAATCCAATGGGCGAACTGGCATTAAATCTTAGGCTTCTATAACTCCAACCAGTTAGTTTATGGATTATTGTACATTTTTTCTAGTTATTGTATTATTTGCCTATCTGTATTCTCCAGAATTCAATCTGATAAGCATACGCATTTGTAATAATTATTATATGTTCAAAATATTGTGAAGTCGCAGTTGTGCAATCCTCTTGCATGAGCTGAGAATGGGAGCTACTGTTTTTTTGTTTTTTATTTTGCTTCTTTGCACAATCTGCTCTTTGAATCATTTGTTAACTTTTCAATTCTGGCCTTGATTGCATTAGCTCAAATAGTTTGCTCTTGCACAGACAAAATCAAAGGTTTAGTTTCTTTTTTAAATTTTCTTCTTGTATGCCATTGCCAGAATTTATCTTTATCTGCTTCCTCCTCAATGTTTTATAGACATTGACCATGTGATGCTTTTCCTTGCCAGCATTCTGTTTGTATTTTTATTACATTATTTTGATATTCACTTTTTGTTTCCTGTACTTTTAGTAAGTTCCAATTTTTAAGTTTCATCAATTCTTGCTGGTTTTTTAAAATA